GATTTACAAGGCTTACCAAACAACTCTGGAATAAAGAAGAAAATAACGCCAGTCAACTCAGGTTTCAGATATATATTAACTGATGAACTGTAAATTGATTGCACTCCCATCAAATTAAACAGCATTTCTAAATGAGAATTAAAACAAGCACTTCTTACTGGCCCCAGCCTATATCTGTTTCATATTTGTGACATATGTATGCAATTGCAACCAACTAGAAATCTAAAACAAAATAATTTGGGGCATTGTGCCACTTACTGGGAACAAGTCACTTATTTTACTATCTAAAGTTTAAATGCCTTTAAATATCTTGCAAAAAGTTGTCTTATTTAGAAAACTGCCAAAGATGTTGAAGCGAAATTAAGAACTCAGGGAAAATGTTTAAAAGATTTCGCGTCCATTTCAGCCAATGGAAATGAACTAGTTTATTAATCTGTTTCTGCATACAACTCCATGAAGACAACATCTCTATCTCAGGGCATTCACTGAATCACGGTTGGACAAATATTTAAGAGATATCAGTGTGAAGGAAAGCCAACTTTCAGGGCCCCTCAGACCTCTTTTTTGCCTGCCTGGTTGACACCTGCCTTGGTCAGCCATTGGTTATAGGACACCCCCAATCCTTGGGCATATTGTCTCTGCTCTTAGCTTTATTCATTTTTAAAATAATGATCTGTATTTATCTATTTTCTCCACCACACTGTGAGCTCTGTGAAGGCTGGGACAGTGTTTTATTCATCTTCGTATTCCTAGGACTCAAGACCCAGCACAGTGCCTAGAGCATAGTAGCATCTGTAAACATTTGTTGACTAGATAAATGAAAAGTTGCAGGCCAGCGTTTGGAATCTGAGGATGACCCTGATTCTCACATGAGGAGTAAGACGTTCTAGTTCATCCTATGCAACTCAGCAGAAATCCAAGCCTGCCTATGGTGGAACCTGATGTCATGCTCCTGTTTAGGTAACTAGGCTTTATGTTGTCCTGGCAACATTAGGCTCAAAATTCAGTAATCAAAATTCCTTCAGGTTTTAGGATGGATCTTGCTCTTGCCTTCCTTCAGCCCTCTCCCCAGTTATTCATTCACTCAATATTCATTAACCAGATATTTAAGTGGTTAAATCTCAGGCACTGGGGATACATCACTGAAGAAAAAAAAAAAAAATCCCAGACAAGAATCCCTGCCCTTACAGAGTTTTTGGACAGAAGAAAAGTGTATTGGGAATTCCACTGGTGGTCAAGTTTCAGTTCGGGGTCAGATGGCGAGGGGAGGGCCTCAATGAGGAGGTGAAATTTCAGGAAATACTTGAAGGGGGTGAAGGAGCTAGCGGGGCATGCAGTAGCTGTGGGAATGGAATCCCAAGTAAAACTTGCATTCCAGCCAACGCCAACAGTCTAAGGCTGGAACAAACCCGGTGTCTTCCAGAAATACGTGTGGCTGAGGCAGAATCAACAAGGGCAGAGCAGCGAGATGATGCCAGAGAGCTGGGATCCACTGCAGAGACAGAAGCCAGCCCCGAGCCCAAGTCTCTTCCTTGGCTTGTCGAGCCAGGGCTTTGGAATCAGGAAAACCTGCATTCAAATCCCTTCTTCACCTCTCGCCAGCTTTGGAACTTTGGGAAGTGATTCCCTCCGCCCTGTCGAGCAAGCGCTTCGTGCAGGTCATCTCAATTAATCCTTTGAAATGCTCTATCAAGTAAGGACAAATATTTCCATGTTAGAGGTTAGAAACTGAGGTTTAGAGAGGATTCAGTAACTTGCTCAGAGCTGTCTGTCAGAAATGACAGAATCAGGATGTGACCTCTGGTGGCTTTATTCCAGAGCCCGTGTCCTTCCTCCCTATCCCACGTGCTATAACTCTACGTGTTTCCAGGTTCTGGTATATACTACGTGTTCAGTAAGTGTAATTCCTTTCTCTCTCACCACCTCGATGGACTTCCCTGAGGTGGTCTGCCTCCTTGGCCCGATCTGTGAGTGACATCTGCTCCTAGGATCCCCATTAGCCAGGAGGATGCCTTCATTTCCCAGAACAGAAGCTGTCCAGTGCTAAACACCTGCCTGTTGCAGCTGCATGTGGCCTTGGGCAAGTCACGCCACCTCACTTGTACACCGGGTTGGATAATGCCTGCTTGCTTCACTGGTGGACACGTAAGAGAGAATCCATGTAAGGCATCACACACAGTCTCCCAGCTCAGAAGAGGCACTCAGCAATTACTCGTTTTTATTATCATGCCTTCTGGAGCTTACTTCTCACCCTCCTGATTGGTCTCTCACCAGCAGCTGAGCCAGCCCCAGTCCAAAGGAGGATGAGATTACAGGTTTTTACCCCCTTGTAGTCTCCTCAGAAATCCTTCCCCTCACTGGCCATGGCACCAGCTCTGACAAATACACCTACTTTCTAACTAAGCAAGCATTAAGTATTATGCTAATGCTTTTAATGTTTTAGCTACAAATGCGAGTAAAGGGCAAGCAGCTCCCCTGGGATCAGCTGAGACTGCCTGTTCATGTACTTAACGGTTTTCCTAGAATCCATGCACCAGAAAGAAAAGTTGACTAATTTTTACATTTTAAAACACTTTCCCTATTTAGAAAGATTAGTATAAACAGAGCTGCGATATTGCACAGGTCTGAGAGGGGTCAGTCACGTGTTAGTACAGGTGGAGCTATGCAACTGAGTAACCTAGGAATGAAGAAAGACAGGTTGTGCACCTGTCCCTTGGCTGCTGTGACTGATGGCTGCTAGGCACTCAGCTGCCACCTTCTCTGGAGACTTGTCCTTCGGTGGATGTGGAGAAAAGAGAAAACTTGCACACTGCTGGTGGGAATGTCAATTAGTACAACCATTATGGAAAACAGTATGGAGGGTCCTCAAAATATTAAAAATAGAGCTACTGGGGCCGGCCCGGTGGCGCACTGCTACAGTGTGCCACTTGGGAGTGCAGCTGTGCTCCCGCCGAGGGTTCGGATCCCACATACAGACCGGTTCCCGCTCACTGGCTGAGTGAGGTGCGGGCACA